TTTATACTGGCAGTCAGCATCTTGTTTTTAGTATCCAGTGTTTCCTTCAATGACTTGACTTCTTTTTTTGAAGACTCTGCCTCTTTCTTCATTGATTCTACTTCTTTCTTAATTTCCATATTTTTCTATGGAATAAAATATTAAATGTAATAAACTATGATACAAGCAATGGAGCCAAAATTTGTAGCATTGCATTAACTTTATACTTGATTAAAATGATACCTCAGTTAAAGTATTAACCTCCTCTTTACTATTAATCAGTTGTACACTCAATGACAGCATCAATTGTTTCATTAAACCACTACTAGTTGATAATGATGAGATGTATTCATCTATTTCTGTTGTAGTAGCAGTGGAGGTGTCCTTTACCTGTTATTAATATTAAATATCAGTTCCTAAAATAGTCAATTTACCTCATACACAGTGCAGTATCCAATGGTTAATCTCTTCACTTTGTTTTCTTTCAATACATCAATATTATTAAGAGCAGCTCTAATTAACTGCTTAAATATAGTCAAAGGAAAGGAACAAGTGATGGTGAAAGAATTATCTTCTTTAATCACATTTAGCCTGACAAGAGGTGATGAATTTTCAAACAAATTTTTTAGACATATTCTGACATCATCAAGTATAAATTTGGCATGACTTTTGTCAACAAGAATTGTAATCGTTTCACACTGAAGTAGTGAGATGCTTGAAAATATTTCTCCCAGACATTGTGTAAGATCTTTTTTATTAAGCTCCTTAGCAGCTTTATCATTATATTCTAGAAGAACTTCCTTAGCTTCATCTATATTAAGCTCATCAACTAAACTCTCCAGTAAACTAATATCAATAAGTGAACTATTATCACTAATTAATTCTAAGATATCATCTATATCTTGACACACAGCTAGCTGAGGTCGTAAGGGCCTACAAAAAAACCTTAATGTACTTCTAACATCTTCAAATGTTGGAATAGGCTTTTCTTTAATGATTACTCCCACTTTTTTGAACGTATTGCTAAATTTTACTCTCATTGACATAAATTTTGTTGCCATTTTCAGTGGAAGATAAAATTTTGGATATTTAGCTATAAAAAATTAAATCATAGTCAAACACAGCAAATTAAACTCATTCTTACCACTACTTTCATCCATTTCTGGTAAATCATTACTACAATATAGCTCTCCTTTATTGTTTATGCAGTAAATGTAATTCGTTTATTTCTTTAATCATTTATGCTTACTGTAATCTTTCTTAATGGCATTTCCTATTCCAACAGTGGTTGTTACTTCACGCAAAATCTCAGCAAATGTCTCAAGCTTTCTGTAGTCATTGCAAACAGTTTCCTTTATTTGAATCAGTAGATCTTTTCCTTCTACAGTAGCAATCAGCATCACCTCTTTTATTAGCTTCTCTGAACACAACAATTCAGTCAGCTGAGGTAATGCAGACAGTAGAGATTGGTTTGAGGTATAACAAGCAAGAATTCTACAAGCAGGATGCTCTGACAAAAAAATTAATAAAAAATGTTAATACTCATTTGTATCAACTTACTCTCCATATCTATTCCATCAGCTACTCCATTCTCTCCTAATTCCCTCAATGCTGATACCAATGAATAGATAGTAGGACCACCTTTAGTCTTTTGAACCTTGTCAGCTTTTTCTAGCCATTTAGCAAGACAGTCACTAAGACACCTTTCAGTATCTCCTTTGTGATTAGCTTCAATGAGCCGTATTGTGTTAACAAATAGACCAAGATAAAGACCAAGATTATGGTATCTGTCTCCTGAATAACCATGTCTTCTGAGTAATTGGAGTACCTCAACAAGATCAGTAACTATTAAATAATTGTATTTGGTATAAGAAATAAGTAACTAAACATACTTTGCAGTTGATTTGTATTGTATGCTGGTCCAGGAGAATCCATTGAGCTCAAGTTTTGCAAAAAAAGGTGGGGCTCAATAACAACGCCCACGTGATCTGATCTAATTAAAGTAGGAGGGGCTAAGCCACCATAAAATGCAAAGCTATTTTTATTTTTGTGATGCTTGATTCAGCTTGAAGGCTTGAACTGAGTGAGTCTGAGGTAGTCTCATCTTTTGTAAACTGATAATTCTATTTTATGTACTATTAGTGTCTATATATTTATCAGTAGTACTGGAGTAACTGATGGATCAGTGATACAATCATTGATACAAGTTATGACTGATGAGAATTACCAGCTCACTGGACCCTGACTCTAAGAAGTTAGTCTATAATTATTATTTATTTATACTACTGTATGGGTACAAAATATCACGTGGGATTAATTTTCATTATTTTTGTTGTGTGAAGTTTTAATCCAGTGAAATTCTTCATATGACCACACCTTATAGTGCTTTAAATAGAAAACATGAAATTAAAAAACTAGGAAATTAATATAGAGCTATTGCACGGAAGTAATCAACGGGAGGGTGTGGCTAAAATTTAGCTAAATTGTCCACCATGTTGGGTGGCAAGAAGGCTAAGAATGAATGGGGAATGGAGAAAAAAATTTAAATAAATTCTGCAGCTGACATTCCAGTTGACATGACCACACCTTATAGTGCTTTAAAAAGAAAATGTGAAATTAAAACACTGTGAAATTAATATTTTCTCCAAAATCATAAAAATTTAACACCACAAATATTTGTACCAGTACAGTATCTGTTATTGTTATTGCTGTTGTATGAGGAGGAAGGAGAGAGAGTAGTTCCGACACATTCATGTATTGTATTTTATAAAAAATTGCCAATTTTAAAAAATGGCCATAACTTTAAAAGTTATAGCGTTGGGTATTTTTTTAATTGACCATTTAAAAATGCTCATAGCATAAAAAATTAAAGTCGAAATTGGTTCAAACTTTTTACGACCTTGGGGCTTCGCCCCAAGGTCGTTCCTAAGATTGAATTCAGCCCCCGCGATGTAAAATAATTGATTGTATGTCAACACTTACATTTCTTCTTGTCTTCTATACACGTTGTATTGGAGAAATAACAATTATGACTCACTTAGCAACGCTCCACCCAGCCCGCTCACATAAGTGGGTGTGGCCACGGTAAACAAAATGGCGGGTCGGAAGCAGAACAAAGTTATAGCTTTCTAGCAAGAAGAATAAAGCAAAGATGATGCCTAAAGACTTATCAAGAATCACTAGAAGGCAGAAAGAACCTTTATAAATGCCTACTATGCGCGCAAGGTGGTGAAATCAATCTTAGGACAATTTTTACACTTATACGCTTGTTACATAGCAGAAGGACATCAATATGCATCAGAAAATGTAAAAAGTTGGGGATGATTTCAGAGTGATTTTTAACTTAGAAAGATATTTTTCAGAAATAGTAATTATATATTTTTATTCATAACTCAATGATTCTCCTCCCTATAGTCTGAGGAGTTATTACGTGTGTATCCTCCATATATAAATTATTTTGAAGTCACTAAGGAGGCTCTCAGTTCCTGTGATCGTCAGTTCCCAAGGTTTCATGCTTTCCTTAAGTGTAATGAGTCCAAACCAGAGTGTGGCCGCCAGACACTATCAGAACTACTGATAACACCAGTACAAAGAATACCAAGGATCATATTATTACTACAAGGTACATGTATATTATATAAATACTAGTATTTACCATAGGCGTATCTAGCCTTCTCCAGCTACTAGGGCACTTAATTAATTATTCATATAATTAATTAATTATTCATATACTTAATTAATTATTTATACCTTTAACTATTGATTGTGGGCAATTTGGGCAAATGCATTTAAAATTTAAGACCTATAACTGCCCTGGTGCTTAAATAAACACTTGGAACATGTAGGTGTGTGCTAAATTATTGTGGTTAACAGTGCTAACTATTGTGGTTAACAGTCCTCCCACTGTTACAATACTGTGTATAATACAATAACTAATGAATATAATTATAGCTGCAAATTTCTACCCGGGCAAAGCCCGTGCTTGCCCGGGTCCAAATACGCCTATGGTATTTACATGTACTGTACATTGTAATTTAGCTGATGTTGGGTAAGATAATTCCCTCATTTTGATAGCCTATTTCCAAATAAAGCTCATCATTTTGAACCATATTATGCACATGTTCAATGGGACATGTGAATAAACATTGTATATTTGCCAAATTAAAACCTGCCAATCACCGAAAATTAAGCAGTACACCAAAATTTCATCTCTCGACAATTACAATGATCACTGTACAGTCCATCTACATGTACTGTCTGCATGTACTACATGTATGTGTACATGCATGTTTTTTATTGTTATTTATTATTATTTCTATAGATTTATTAAAGCGTACTGATACTGGCCACATTGATTACAAGCAGTTGGAGGAATCAGTTGAAAAACTTAAGAATGTAATGGAGTGAGTTATACATCACTACATGTACATGTATTTTATTTATTTATTATCATTAATTTTTCTAGACACATAAATGAAGACAAGAGGAAGACAGAGAAGCAGATGCACATGTTTGAACTTATACGTGACATTGAGGACGTCCCGGTAATTAGTGGGTGTGGTCTTTAATAACTGACTCCTCCCCTTTAGCCAACTGTCCTTTCATCTCATCGTTGGTTTATTTCAAGACATGATGTGTTGGAGTTAAATATTAGCAATAATGGAAAGACTAATAAACCATTGTCTATAGCATTGTTCCTCTTCTCTGACAGCATTGAGGTGAGATAGAGGAAGTGTGCCATTTTTATATGTTAATTTCACCTGTACTATAGCCCATGGTTTTACCAAAAAATGGCTCCAAAATCACTCCCAATTTTTATTACATTTTCTGATACATATTGGTGTTCTTATGTAAAAAGTTTGAGCTGATTCCAACTTTAATTTTTCAAGTTATGGCCATTTTAAAAAATGAGCCAATTTTTGAAAAATACTCAAGGCTATAGCCCATTGTTTTTTCGAAAAAATGGCTCCGAAATCACCTCCAATTTTTATTAAATTTTCTGGTACATATTGATGTCCTTATGCTGTGTAGAAAGTTTGAGCTAATTCCGACTTCAATTTTTCAAGTTATGGCATTAAAAAAATGAGCCAATTTCCCTGTACTATACATTGTACATGTACATGTAACATGGTCTTATTAATTAGTGTCCCTCCCTCCCTCTCTCCTACAGATTGCTAAGATAAGAAGTGGTCATGGTTTTGTTGCTATGAAGGACTCATACAAACCATACAGGTACATGTACATGTATTTTTAGTATACATGCATGTACATATACATATACATGTAATGTACGTACATGTACATGTATTACTGTTGTTCTTGTTACTATATTTAGACACTTGGAATTCCTCACATATTCTAATATTAGATCAGTCATTGATTTCACTGATAGTGAAGGTACATACATGTACATAATTTATTTATTTATTTATTTGTTTGTTTA